AGTTGGTTCCCCCCGGTTTCGACGGCTGTAGGGCCGGCGAATTTCTTTTGCGATAAATAACGAGGTCGCGTAGGGCCGGCTAATAACATTCTGAGGATGTCTCGAGCGAAACGCATGTGTTTCAGAATTTGTTGAGGATGTCTCGAGCGAAACGCTTGTTTTGTGTTATAGATTGTCCTCTCCTGGGGACCTGAATTCTGAGGATCTCTCAAGCGGATTGCTTGTTTTCACGTGCCCAGGTCTTGAGGATGTCTCGAGCGAGATGCTTGATTTCACGCCTCCAGGTGGCCTAGACAGATGTCTAGCATGAGGATTTGTTGAGGATGTCTTGAACCAGAGGCTTGTTTTCACGTGTCCAGGTCGCCCAGGCGGACGTCTAGCATGAGCATTTGTTGAGGATGTCTCGAGCGAGACGCTTGTTTGCACGTGTCCAGGTTGCCCAGGCGGATGTCTAGCATTAGGATGTGCTGACAACGTCTAGACCGAAACGCGTGTTTTCACGTGTCCAGGTCGCCCAGGCACAGCACAGCCCTCGGCACGGTACATCAATATCGATACGCTTAGCATTGCAGCCTGGCATGTTGCCTGGCACGATCCGCGGAGAGTCCCGTGGCGAGTCCCCCTGGTACGTCGCGCGGTGCACGTCCACTGGCACGTTCCGTAGCGCGTCCCCTTGGCACGTCCCGCGGTGCGTGCCCATGGCCCATGGCACGTCCCCTGGCACGTCGCCTGGCGCGTCCCTTGGGACGTTCCGCGGCGCGTCCTCTTGGCATGTTCCCTCTGTCGATTAGTTCTGGGGCAGCTACCATCTGCTCAGGCAGCTCGAGCTTACGATCCAGATCAGTTCGGTGAGGACTCGGATGCCAGGGAGGACTCGATCCACAACGCTATAGAGAGCACAATCGCGGCATGGCACATCGCAGTTCAGCACGGCCCAGCACAGCACAGCCGTCGGCACGGTACATCAAGATCGATACATTCAACTATGCACCTTGGCACGTTCCTTGGCGCGTTCCGTGGCGAGTCCACCTGGCACGTCGCGCGGCGCGTCCCCTGGCACGTCCCTCGGCACGTCCATTGGCACGTTCCGTAGCGCGTCCCCTTGGCACGTCCCGCGGTGCGTCCCCATGGCACGTCCCCTGGCACGTCGCCTGGCGCGTCCCTTGGGACGTTCGGCGGCGCGTCCTCCTGGCATGTTCCCTCTGTCGATTAGTTCTGGGGCAGCTACCATCTGCTCAGGCAGCTCGAGCTTACGCTCCAGATCAGTTCGGTGAGGACTCGGATGCCAGGGAGGACTCGATCCACAACGCTATAGAGAGCACAATCGCGGCGTGGCACATCGCAGTTCAGCACGGCGTAGCACAGCACAGCCCTCGGCACAGTACATCATCATCGATACATTCAGCATTGCATGTGCCCGTCGCCCAATCAGGTGTCTTTGAAATGTTGCAATGCCTTACATTTCTATATTCCTTTCCGGGTTCGTGGGTCGATCATGTCTTCTTTATACGTTTGGGGTTTGCTGTACAATCTTCATTCATCGTTACAGTTCGGAGATGTCAATTTTTACATATTGCAATTGCGCAGTGTTCTGTATTCATCGTTACCACTTCCAATGGATATTTACAGTGTGCTGGCGTATTGCGTGTCGGTGGAGTGACGCCCATTAGCTACGGATGCTCATCGGCACTGTCTTTGGGCCGTCTGCGCTGGGCGGGGCGTGGGGCTGTGGCGTATTTTTGCTGTGGTCAGGCCGTTCGTCATCTTTGTGCGGGTCCACAGGCGGTGTACGGCGTCATGCACGCCGTGGGACTTTCATCGACATTGCGTTATGCACGGAGTGGTCATCGCTATACCTTCGCTCGAGGATGGCGTTGTCGAGGGCGTGGTGCAGTTTATTTACCTCACGGTGGTCTTCATCATCTTCGTGGTGCTCGTGCTGGCCACGCCCGACGCGGGCTGCTTTTTGCCGTTGGGAAAATCCTCCTCTTCCTCCACCTCCTCCTCCTCCTCCTCCTCCTCCTCCTCCTCCTCCTCCTCCTCCTCCTCCTCCCATTTCTCCTCCCCACAGGGGGTGGGAGGGGGAGGTTTTCGGACGTTTTCGTCGGTTTTCGATGGTTTTCCAGCCTCGGGATGCTCTGCAGCCGTTGGTGCCTCTCGGGGGCTCCGAGCCGAGCCCTTCCTCGGCATGGGGCGTTCCACAAAGCGCCTCACCATCGAGGGGTCGAGGGGTCGCTGTCTCTTCCTCGGCGGAAGGCCGACGGGAGCTGGCGGAAGTACAACGGCGATGGGTCCGCAGGCGGAAGTCAGCGGAGGTACAGCAGAGACACTTTATAGGGGGGATTCAGGGTTTCCAGCACCCGCCGCGCGAGGAGAAGGGGCCGCCGCGCGAGGAGAAGGGGTCCCGAGGGAAAGGGGTGTCCTGCTGAGGCCTGCGGGCGTTTTTGGTGCCCGAGCCCTGGTGGGCCAGGCCTTTGGTGCGCAGTCTTCGGGGGCGCGGGGATAGGGGAGCGGAGAACAGCACAAACAGAAAAACTCGGAGGTCCGCGCGGATTTCTCGGATCGGCGTCGGACCCCCCCCTCCCTAGCGCGCGGAGCGCGCCAGGGGCGGCGCCTGAAGCGCCGCCAGGGGGGGCCCAGCGCGGATCCGAGACATCCGCGCGGACCTCCGAATTTGTATGTTTATGTCATTCTCCGTTCCCCTACGGTTAGGTTCGGCAGTTATACTACAGGAGGTCCGTCGAGAAAACCGGCCGAAATCTTCGGAAAACCTTCAGCGGGAAACTCAACCTCCCCAAACTATTCCAAAGAAGCTCCCTTCCCCTAGGGGAGGGGGGGGGGTCAAGCCTCAGTGCGCTGGCCGCTGCAGGCCCCACCGCAGGCGGTCGGCAGCGCTCCCCCGGTCTCCTCTGTGCGTGCGGCCGCGTTTCGCCCTCTGGCGCTCGGCGGCCAGCTTTTTTGGGAGGGTCGACGCCGCGCGCGTGCGCCGCGGCACTCGCGGGCGGCCCTGCGGCCACCGCCTGCGAGCGGGCGCGTGGCCCCGTGGCGAGCGCCGCGCCGCGGAGTGCTCGGGGCTCCCGGACCCCCTCGCGGATCGCGAGGCAGGGCGGAGGTCGCGACGCGGGAGGGCCTCGCTGCCGCTCTCGGCCTCCGGGAGCCCTCGCAGGGGCCCCGGGGGAGCGTCGAGAAGGTTGCCCAGGAGGAGACGTTCGGGTGGCGTCGCGAGGCAGGAGGGAGATCGCGACGCGGGAGGTCTCTCTGCCGCGCTCGGCCTTTTAAGGAGCCCTCGCAGGGGCCCAGGGGAGCGTCGAGAGGACTGCTCAGGAGAAGGAGCGGGTCCCGAGGCACGGGTGGAGACGCTCGGGGATCGGCGCGGCGAGCAAAAACTTGGGACTGGCTGGCTGGGCTGGTGGCTCGCGGACATCGGTGGCTCTCTAGGCCAGACCCCTTCCTCCTCCTCCTCCTCCTCCTCCTCCTCCTCCTCCTCCTCCTCCTCCTGCCTCCTCCTCTGCTCCCCTCCTCCTCCTCCTCCTCCTCCTCCTCCGCCTCCTCCTCCTCCCCTCCGCCTCCCTCCTCCTCCTCCTCCTCGCCTCCGCCTCCGCCTCCTCCTCCTCCCTCCTCCTCCTCCTCCTCCTCCTCCTCCTCCTCCTCCTCTTCCTCCCCGTCCGACCCCAAACAAAACTATGAATCATGCCGTCGGGGGTCCGGGAGCGCGCTTCGCGGTCCAGGCCTCAGAGCCGAACTTCAAGGGAGGCGCGCGAGGAGGACCGCGCGGCAGCGCGGAGCCGGGCGAGCCTTGCAGAAGCGACGCCTGAGGGGACCGAGGCGATGCTGAAACCGCGTCGCAGAACTTTGCTTGCTTCCCTGTGGACGAGATCGCGCGCGCCCCCTGAGATCCGACGCTCCAACAAAAGTTGGAGCGGCGGTATATTTGGCCGTTTTCGGCCTCCGGGGGCCCTCGCCGGGCTTCGGGAGCGTCAAAAAACAACCCAGGACGAAAAACCAGTCCCGGGGAAGAGGTCCGGACCTGCGGGGCCCACGCATCGAACAAAGTGTGCAGCAGCCGGATGTCTGGGTCCTTGTTGACGAGACCGTGCGAGTGAGTGAGTGAGTGAGTGAGTGAGTGCATGTCCCCTGCGCGCGCCCTGTTGGGGGGCCGACGTACGGGGCTGGGGCGCAGGCGCATCGTCGCAGTTGAGGCAGGAGGGGGCGCCGCCGCAAGCCAGGACAGGCCTGCAAGCCAGGAGCTTCCTTGACGGTCCTCGGGCTCGGTAAGGGCCAGGGCGGAGCCCGCCAGTGGCCTCATGCGTTCCGCCGTGATGTCTCCACGGCGCGAGGCTGTCAAGGAAGGCCAGAGGAGGGGAGCATGAAACGGAGGGGGTTGGCATGGCCCCCGGTGCCCTGTCCCCCCCCCCCTTGCAAGGGCCCTGCCCCCAGATTTGTGCTGTTCGGATTGCTTGAACCCCGGGCCCCGAGGTCTCGACCACCTTGCTGGAGACAGTCGTCCAGGATCCTTTTCCGATAGCTCCTGGGCGCCCGGGAGCGGCCCCCCGCGAGACCGAAACGAGGAGGAAACGCCAGGATTGGAGAAGCCAGTCCGAGGCGACCCCGCCGCCAGCAAACAGCGTCGACGACGATCGCGTCGTCGTCCTCGTCCTCGTCGTCCTCGTCGTCGTCCTCGTCGTCGTCGTCGTCGTCGCCGTCGTCGCCGTCGTCCTCGTCCTCGTCGTCGTCGTCGTCGTCGTCGTCGTCGTCGTCGTCGTCGTCGTCGTCGTCGTCGTCGTCGTCGTCGTGGTCGTGGTCGTGGTCGTGGTCGTCGTCGTCGTCGTCGTCGTCGTCGTCGTCGTCGTCGTCGTCGTCGTCGTCGTCGTCGTCTAGTCACTGTCGTCGTCGTCGTCGTCGTCCTCGTCGTTGTCGTCGTCGTCGTCCTGGTCCTCGCCCTCGTCCTCGTCCTCGTCGTCGTCGTCGTCGTCGTCGTCGTTGTCGTCGTCGTCTCGCAGGTGGAGGCGAAGTACGGGGTGCCGCCCGGAGACCTCGCGGCGGGCGCGCGCCCGCGTGCGGAGGAGGGCGCCGGCGGCGCGCTCAAGCGGGGCGCCAGCCGCACCGTGACGCTGCTGCCCCCCAAGCGCCGGCGGCTGCTCGGCGGCGCGTGAGGCGGGTGGTCAGAGGAGGGAGGAGGAGGAGGAAGGAGAGGAGGAGGAGGAGGAGGAGGAGGAGGAGGAGGAGGAGGAGGAGGAGGAGGAGGAGGAGGAGGTGGAGTCAGTGTCGTTTACGCGCCGGTCGTTGGAAGTAGGTATTCTGTATCCCCAGGTCCCAATCTGCTTCAGGCGCCTTCCTGCCTCAAGGATCCGGCGGTGTTCCCCCGTCCCTCCTCCTCCAGGGGGCGGGCGGGAGCCCAGTCTACGTCTAACGCCTTCCTGCTTCATGTTTCTGCCCACTTCTTCCAACCGACGGGCAACCGATCCCTATCCCCGTCTCCGCCCCGATTCTGATCCCCACCTTCCCACCGCCCCAGTCGAGGAGGAGGAGGAGGAGGAGGAGGAGAAGGAGGAGGAGGAGGAGGAGGAGGAGGAGGAGGAGGAGCCCCTCGAGATCCGAAGGGAGCAGCCTACATTCCCATCTTGGGGGGCAGGTCGGCCAGAGGGGCGCAGGGTGCACGCCAGTGGGGATGGGGATCGGTTCAAAGGCGCTCCCGGAAGAGGGCGAGTTGCGACAGCGGTGCCCTGAGATCCTTTCGTCGCCACTGTCAGTATCGAGCAGGGCGATCCCGCCCGGCCCTGGGCCCCCGGCTCGTCACAGAGCGAGGAGTGCAGCGGAAAGGTGGATTCTAGGGCTCCAGACACGACTGCTTACCCAGACCCCCGACGTCTGGACTTTTTCAGGATGTCGACCCCCAGAGGCCTGGACCCTTTCCCCGGGGCCCATTTTTCATCCCGAGTCGTTCTTTGGCGGCCCCGAGGCCCGGAAAGGGCCCGCGGAGGCCGAACATGGCGCGAAACTTCCCGTCGTTTTTTTTTCACAGCGCGAGGAGGTCTGGGTACGGGGCGCTTTTTCTGCTGCCGCGTCGGAGCTCCCATGGGGCGGCACTCGGGGCCTTCGCGGGGGGCGCCTCGCCGCCACGGCTCGTGGCGGCGCAGGCGGCAGGCCTGCACGGCGCGCTCCCGCGCAGAGCTCGGCCGGACGCAGCTCGGAGAAGCGGGTGCGATCGGGCGCCAGGAGCGGCGGCGGGCCCAGGGGGGGAGCTTTTGGGTTTTGGGAGCTTCGGGCTCGAGCCTCGAGGCCCTCGGACGTTCTCGGCGGCCTCAGCGGTTTTCCAGCCGCGGGGTGCTCTTTCCAGCGGCTGCGCCTCGCCGAGAGGCGTCCGGGGGTGCCCAGATCGTCCCGGACGGCCGGCGGGGGACCCGAGTGAGGACCCGAAAACCGAATGCGGCGGCGAGCCCGTGGTGGAAGTGAGAAGGGGCTGGCCTTCTCAGCAGGCTCGGAAGTCCCGAGGCCGCGGAGCGACGAAAGTTTATGTCTGTGACGTTGCTGTCCATCTAGTCCAGAGAAGCGGCCAATTCTTGACGCTTCCCGTGGCCCCACAGTCCCATCTAGAAACGATGCCAAAGCGAGCTGTCGAGAGGATGGGGGATCTAGCGAAACACGGGGATGCCGACAATAGTTTATGCCTGAAGACCTCCTGGCGCCTCTTGGCTGCCATCTCGGAGCTCTCTTCGGCCCCCGTCTCGGGAGGAGGAGGAGGTGGTGGAGGAGGAGGAGGAAAAGGAGGAGGAGGGGGAGGACGAGGAGGAGGTGGAGGGGCTGGAGACCGTATACGGGCCTGGCGTTTTGGGTGTTCTTGCAGGGGGAAGAGAGAAGAAGAGAGATAGAAATACATAAAGAAAAAAGAGAGATAGAGAGAGAGAGAGAGAGAGCGAGACAGAAAGAGAGAGAGAGAGAGAGCAAGAGAGAGAGAGAGAGATCGGACAAGCAGACGGGTGTCTCGTCGACACCCGGCTACTGCGGTAGCCGAGGCCGCCATTGCACGCTTCTCGGCGGTGCCCACCTTGGGTACGGGGGACGTTGTAACAACCACCCCCCGCGCAAAGCGACGAAGGTAAAAAGGCGGAGTGCTGAATAGGCGATACGCCACGTCTCTCGGCGCCACGCGCTGGAAGGGGCCCAGGTCGGCAAAGCTGGCCAAGGGACAAGGGCTAGGCGCTAGGCCGCTGAGCTGCTTGGGGAAAACGGGGCGTCCCCCGTCCCCGCAGCCAGACACCGATGTCGCGTGGCCGCGCGGGGGATCGGGCTGGC